CGGGGTGTCCTGGCACCGGCCCAGCGCAGCGCACACACGCGAGGCTCTGATCGCAGCGGGAGGGATCTCGGAGCAGTGTTTGTACCGGGAAACACTCACTTCCTCAGCCCATCTGTGCTGGGAACAAGCAAGAAACCCACCCCGAGCCACACTGCGGCAGCCTCCCAGCGAGGACACATCAATGCAGCAGCAGATTCATCCCAGCTGGCTCTGTGCTCAGCGAGGAAGTCGTGCCACAGTGCAAAGCCACGCTTCCCTCCCAGCCCTGCTGCACCCCAGCCTGAGGAGCAGCAGTTATCTCCAGAGCTTTGGCTTCGGAACAGATTGGAGCAGGAGCGTGTCCTCCAACACCAGAGGGAGGTTTTGTTCGCCTGGTTCAGATGTGGTTGCTGGGGAAGTGAATCTGAATTGGTGGAAGCAAAATGCGGAATAGCTTTAACCTGCCAGAGGGGAGATTGAGATGAGCTCTGAGGCAGAAGCTCTTCCCTGTGAGGGTGCTGAGGCGCTGGCACAGGGTGCCCAGAGAAGCTGTGGCTGCCCCATCCCTGGCAGTGTTCAAGGCCAGGTTGGACACAGGGGCTTGGAGCAACCTGCTCTAGTGGAAGGTGTCCCTGCCCAGGGCAGGGGCTGGAGCTGGAGGAGCTTTAAGGTCCCTTCAACACAAACCAGGCTGGGTTTGTGTTGTGCAAATGTGTTAAAAATGTGTGAAAATGTGTTAAAAATCCTGCCTTAAATGAGGTCCAAATCCTACCATTGCCCCTGCACAGGCTCCTCTGCTCCGGCACTGCCTGTGTGCTCTGTCCCTGCGCTGCATTCCAGGACACATCTGCCTGGGATCATGGCTTCCAACAGCTCTGCTCTCCCGTACCACTAGCAGGGAAAGCAAAACCAGGTTGTCAACAGCCACCCGAGTGTCAACGTGGCAAAGGAAAGGGCTGCTGAGGAGAATGGGAAGGCTGAGGGGACTCAGTGAGGACACCCAGGGCTTAATGCAGCAACCCCGACCAGTGCAATCTGCCCTCAGGGTCTTACTCCATCTTTTACTGGGATTGCTCCTTAGGGCTGATTTTGGACAGGGCCTGGCTTAGCTACCTTTCATCTGCAGGACAGCCCTCCACGGCCTGCACTGAAGCTCAGGTTGTGTTGAAAGGAGGTGGAGACATCCCGCTTCCAACACCTCAAGCTGCAGCTAAACTCAGCCCCTGCTTCCACTTACACCACTAAAAGAGCCCCGTGACAGAGGCTGGTGACAACATGGGTTTCTATGATTCTCCACCTCTTCCTGGCTCTCTGGAAAAGCTCCCTTCCTTGGGAAGACACTTCACAGCCAAAAAACATCATCTTAACACACAGGACACCTCCACCCCACCAGGGTCCTTCCTTTTCAGCCCATCCCCTTTGCTGTGGCAATTGCTGCCTTAATGCAACCTCCTGGAGAGCTGCTCTCCAAACATGTGCAGAGCCCCCAGAGCCTGGGATTCATGGAGAGGGGCACTAAGAGCTGGTGGCTTGCATAGAACAGCCTCCCATCCCACCAGGAGCAGTGGGACCTTCCCCAGGGTCAGGCTCAACAAGGGAGCACCATCTGACTGTCTCTAGCGCAGCCAGGCTGGGTGGCATCAGTGGGAGCAGAGGTTTGCAAGGGCACACTCTGCCCTGCCCAGGGAATGCCTGATCCCTTGGAAAATCCCTTTTCCACCCTTGGAAAAGAGCCCTCTGGTTTCAAGCCAAGGTGTTTAGGTCCCCTCCTCACCCAGGAAGGGATGTCCATGTCCATATCCATGTCCAAGTTCGCCTTCCTCCACTCCAGCAGCACTCCCAGTGCCAGTGAACATCTGGATGCCACGAAACGCGCTGGATCGAGAGTGTCACCTAGTGGCAACAGAGCTGATAAAGGTTCCATGATCCCACAGAGACCCCACGCACTTCCCACACAAGTAGGGCCTGGCAGCCCTCAAACCTGCAGGCTGCGGCAACCTTGAGCACAGCAGTGCCTGATGTGTCCACATGCAGCCCATATGCTGGGAATTTGGGGTGGGTTTTTCCTTTTAACAGCTCTTCCTCCTAAATGGAATGCAGCAAGCTAACAGGAACCACTGCTCTCCATGCCCTGTAGCCTCCTGTGCTGCTGTCCCGGTGCAAACAGCTTCACCTTCACCCCATCAGCACTGAGGAGCCTACTGCCAGAAACCAGACAGGCATCAGAGCACTGAGGGATGGAAGTCAGAACTTATTTATTTAAGAAACAAAAAACCAACCAAACCCAACCAAAATCCTTGTAAAAAGGAGGGGGAGGCATCGAGTACAAGCTCTGGAAGCTCTTGTCAGGACAGCGCCGAAGAAATCAGCTTTATACAACAGAGAGAAAGGGGGAGCAGGAGGGGCCCAGGGCTGTCCCCCACCCCGAGCTTCCCCAGCCCGGCACGAGCAGCCCCTGCACACGTCCATCTGCATCCTGGCACTTGTCCCCCTTCTCCCTCCACCACCCTTAAAGTGCAGCAGGGAGTGGGGGGAGAGGGGCTGGTTCCCCCCCAACCACCCCAGCCTGCTCTTGGCCTTCTCCTGTGAGCCAGGACAGTGCCTGTGGCATGGTCCAGCTCCCTCGTGGTGGCCCCAAGGACCAGCAAGGTAAAGGCTGTCCCCATCACGGATCCCAACAACCTCACACAGCCCCAGTGGCACATCCTGGGGCAAAACAGTCCCCAGGAGCTGCTTAACACAAGAGGGTTGGGCTTGAATGAAGAGCCAGCAAGGAACAGCACATCCGGCTCAGCTCCTGAGGTGGGCAGGGAAGGAAGGAGGAAGAAGGGATGCTGCTGGTCCCACACAGGAGAGCTGTGCATCTCTTGTGGGCCTGAGACACTGCATCTCTTCCTCCTCCACCCCACGTATGAGCCTTTTACAAGAGGAAAACCCAGAAGGACTCAGCAAGGGCTCCACAGCGGGTTCAGGAGCCTGCAGACAGCCCCTGAGGAGCCCAGCTCAGCTCTTGCTCTCAGCCAAAACCCCCTCATCCATGTTCCTGCTCCTCTCAATATATTATTACTATTATGTGCAAGTAGTTTTGCATCAGACAACACCAAGCCCTCCTCTCTGACCCTGCAGCTCCAGCCCCTCAGCCCTGCTTGTGCCTCAGAACGTTCCTCCTTCCCTGGGGGGCTGTGGAGAGCAAAGCGTGAGGGTAGCTATTAGACAGGAAAGACTCCACCACCCCCCTCCCTCCCCAAACCCCGGCCCTGTCCCTCACACACACACCCCCTGCCCACAAGGACAGTCCACAAGGGCCAGGTCACTCGTCACCCTCCTCCTCGTGGTGGTGGTGGCTGGAGGCAGGAGGTTCTTCCACCTCCTGCTGGTGGTGGCGGGCATAGTGATGGGGGCTGGGACCCTCAGCGGGCATGTTCTCCTCCGCGTTCAGGTAGACGTTGAACAGGGCTCCCTCGTGGCTCGGCTCTTTTTTTCCCACAAGCCTGGCAGCTGCAGTGAAGTATCTTCTCCACCAGCTTGTCCACCCTGGGGATCTCGTCGTTGCCTGGACAGTCCAGTGTCACCTGGGTGGAGGGATGAGGACACAGGGATGAGTGTGCAGGCTCAAGCCCGGGTGGACATCCTGCTGCGGGTCTGACCTTCCCGTGCCCTGCACACTTGGGGTGCTTTAAGCCACAAGTGATGATTCATTATCCATATAAAGAAACCTCTACTGTCAGTCTGCACAGCAAGAGTTCACTGGGAATGTCTCACAAGGGACAACCTGCAGGGAAATCGTGAGATAATGGGATAATCACAGAACCATAGAATGGTTTGTTTTAGAAGGGATCTTAAAGCTCCTCCAGTTCCAACCCCTGCCACGGGCAGGGACACCTTCCACTAGAGCAGGTTGCTCCAAGCCCCTGTGTCCAGCCTGGCCTTGAACACTGCCAGGGATGACGC